TGTTCTTCCTAAAGCATTGATAAATTAAAGATATTTTCATGGAAAAAAAAGAATATGCATAAACATATACCAAAATTTTTATGAAATTTAATTTAAATTTATTGGTGATAATTTAGCTAACGAATAATATAGATTATATGTCACCAGTATGTATATTGTTCTAAATTTTAAACAAGTCAATTTTTTTAACAAAAAATCAACTTATCAGTAATTATATATTTTTATATTGAATAAAAATATAAAATTTTAAAGACATAAAATCACAGAACTGTTGTAATACTACCTTTATGAAATCAAAATAGCAAACAAATCTATAATTAACAAAATAGCAAACCAAAGTAACGTTAAAGATTGTCGAAAAATAACTTTACTTCACCACAAGCAAATTGTAAATCCCGAAAAACAGAATCACTTCACTAATGAATTAATGTGAAAGTGATAAATAGAATAAGACAAAAATACAATCAAACATCAATTATTCCCTCCTTATGATTAAAATTGTTAGGAGTCTGTTAGTTGAAGTCTGTTTGAGCTTTCATTGTATTCGAGTTTTTAATCAATAGAAAACACATGAGCAATTCAGTTCTTTTTTTTATATTCTATTTGCTAAAGTTTTAACCCTACAAAAATATGACATTAGTAGTTCTTAAGCATTCTAGGTAACGTTTTGAATCAGTTTAACCCCATATGGCCATATGTAGTTTCCAAGACCTGTTAGAATCAACCAACCAACAATTATGTTTATCAGAGAAACTAAAAGCTCCACAACCCGAAAGAGATTCGAATGTCGACGGGTGTCCCAGGGATGGCTTGAGCATCTTTGCCATGTAATATCTGCATCAAATCAGTCACTTCCTTATGAGGATTATAACCTTAAAGACCCCTCAAAACAAACTTTAAATTTAATAAACCCTTGTTATAAACACTTTTATTCTTTTGATTTATTTTAATAAGAAATATGGCTAAAGTCAAACTTGCCCTTAATAAATTTAGCATATTACAAAAAACCAAAGAAAAAAAAAATTATGTTTGCTCCCATCTTTTCGAAACAGATCCGCGAA